TTCATAATTAAACCGAAGATCTACGCCTGCGTGTATGCGCCGAGGGGGGTGGGGGCAGTTTGATTGGACTGAATTACTTTAATATTTAATCATGGTACGTTTAGCCTGTTTATCAATCTGTCTGTTCCTCAACTGCATCTACGCCTGTGTATGACTCGATAGATGGAATAACTGATAGACAGATGATAACGAACCGACACGCAAACCAAATTCTCTCCAAATATACTGACAGCAGTAGTAGCAGTAGTGATAATGATAATGAAAATAATATTAACAGTAATAGTAGTAGTAGTATTACTAGTAGAAATAGACGTAGTAGTAGAAGTAATAGTAATAGTAGTGATGATAATGCTGATATTAATAATGGAAAACAACGATAACAGTGATAGCAGATTGTAATAAAAACGCACCAGATTATCATTCTCGCTTCATCCCTTCCCCTTCCTCAAAAAACTCATAATCATCATCACTACAACGAAAAAAACATATGACGCAAAAATACATCAGCATACTCCCCACCTTCGTTTTCCTTCGTTACACAACCGCGCCGACAACGCCAAAGAATCGCTGTATGGCCGCGCTCGCCGTACACAGGAGTGCAGGGAGGCGCCCAATGGCAGGCCAGAATTTCAACGCCGAAGAGAGCGCTGCGGCGGAGAACGCGAGGGGAACGGAGGGGAAGGAAGGGGAGGTTTTTCGCGCTCGCCAAAGCCAGTTTTGCTCACTCGCGAATCATGCTTGTTACTTTTTTTCATCCATCTTTTAACTTTTACTATTTTCGGAGGGAGGGAGGGGGTAGTTGGTTTTGATTTTGTTTTTCTTCATTTCGTGTTTCGTTGTTTTATTATCACTGCTGACTTTTCTTTCTTTTTTTTTTTTTTTTTTTCCTTTTCTGGGGTCTTACAAAATGGAGGAAGACTGTAACAGTTACAATTTACGGACACTCTCTGTATCATTATCTACTCCCATCATATCCGCTGTCTTAAACATTGCTAACATGAACTAAGAACGCCCTTTGACCCGGACAGCGAAAGGCAGCGAGGGTTGACCTTTGATTCCTCAGAGAGCGGCCTCCCTCACTTCGCCCTCGAGGCCGAACCAAGCAATTCGAGAGCCAGAAGAGGCCGAGAGAGCGACGCCGATGACCAGCCTAAGCCCTTCATACGCAACAGTCTGTCTGACGCAGTCGTCTTATGTCTTAGAAGCGCTCTTACGCTTTCTCGGGAGAGGCTTACCGTTATAGACGAAGGTGACCGGGTGGTGCTGATAGTGATGGTGATGGTGCGGCCGCTGCGGGTCAGGCCTCGCCACCTCTGGAATGTGGACCTCCACTACCCGCTCCTCCTCAGACGCCTCCACCTTCGGCCTCGGCAGGTGGCTCATGTGGAGGAGGGCGTGATGGTGCGGCTCTTCCTGCGCGGGGGGCGGCGGGGGCGCGTACACTTGGTATGGCGCGTCGTGTACCCCGGCCGCCCTGCCCAAGTCCAAGGGCGCCGTCGTGTAGTAGTGCGGCGGAATGGGCGTCGGGTGGCCAGGATTGGTCACGTGGAGGTTGAGTGGGTGGTGATGGTGGTGGTGGAGGTGGAGGTGCTGGTCGTCGTCATGGGCGTGCGAGGGCGGCGGCGAGGGGGCCGTCTCCCCTGCCGTGGGCGAGCGGGGCGTCCAGGCGCTGCGGTGGTCCATCGGGGACGGCGACCGATCCCTCGGGAGTGGAGGAGGTGGATTGGAGGGAGGATTTGGTGGAGGAGGTGGAGGTGGTGGTGGAGATGGATAAGGGGAATGGCGGCCCCCTGCCTTCTTGGCCATGAAACACCTTGGCATGGTGGGTGCCGCGTGTCACAGCGCGGGCCGGCCGGTGCACGACATTCAGGAGCGGGTCACGGGGGCAACACGGGCGGCGTCACACACACACACACAGACACACACAGGCGTCCCCGCTCCCCGCGTCACACAGTAGCGCCGCCCTTCACCCGCTGCCTCTTATACCCTTCGGGTGATGCCGCCGGTCGCTATCTCTATTTACCCGACGTCAGTGCTCCGTTTCCTTGGCTCCTGCGGCTGAGGACTGCTGCTTATTCTGGCTTTGTTGTTAATCTGAGGTCACTGGACTTAAAAATTCTTTGAAATAAAGTATATCTATAGGTAAATAGAGTACGTGTTGCGGGTTGGGGGGCGGGGCAACGCACGCGCGCCACGTGGTGGGGTGGAGCCTCGATTGCTGCCGACAAAATCGCCGATGACGAAAATTAAATACAATTAAAGACCACTGCTCATCGCAAATGAGTGAAGTTATTCAAACTGCGACTCAAATATGTTATCGACCGGTGAAGGCAAACGAGACACAACGCTCGTCGGTTACTCGGATAAAATCGCGGCCCGAAAGTGGTAGCTGGACACTCACGCCGCGCGTCCGTTTCGCCACCACTGTTGAATGGCCTCCACCGCGCCCTCCTCCCGGCGGCTGGCCTCGCTCGCTCTCTCCTGCCTCTCGTTTCCAGTA